TGCACCTAGATTACGGCCAGTTGATTAATGGTCGTTGATTACGACCACTTGATTACCAGTACTTGAAAAGAATAGCGCTATCATCACGCCCACTAGCTGTAAGAATAGCGTAATTTGTTGGACATTAGACTTATTATTTCTGCAAAGTATGAATACTTTTAAAGTAACTTTCTTTTGTATTGTACAGTTTAGCGAGCCTTTCAGATTGCCGGTCAATTTCAAACCGCATCTATTATAATTTTATTCGAAATTAGTTTTATAAGTAATTTTCTTATAATAAATGGAAGCTGTTATCGTCACCGACTCATTATACGTCTCACTGTTGGACACTTCTCTTATACGGATTTAGCTGGTCCGCCACATGGCCAATACACGTTAGAGACTTCATACGTTTCCCGAGGGTTGTAAAACTGGTTCGACTTGCAAGTTTATTCGATGTTTTTATTTATTGATCGCGAGAGGTACTGCAACTAAAAATTCCAAATGTAAGTAACTGTGAAAATGAAGTCATAGTGATTCAACCCGTCGACGCCATATAATTGAGAAAGTAACCAATCTCACACTAGACTAACTCTTCTTTTTCTTCCTGTCCTTTTCCCATTTTATTTGAGGTCGGGCTTCCTTGTACGTCGACGCCAGGATGCTCTGTCCTGGATTGTCGTTAATGGGATATTCAAGGCGTTGAGGTCTTTGTCTATATTGTTCCTCTACGTCTTACTCTTCCAAGGTGTTTTGTGTCGGTTCTCTTTAAGCTTCCCTGTCAGCGTTCAGGTGTCAGAGGTGACGTTCTCATTGCGGATATTGTCTAATCGCGTTACCTTCGACCTTTACATAATCTGGCACTAGGCTACCATTGTCCTTAAAAAGGATGTCTGTCTAAGGGTGCCTTCAAATTCGACGCCTATAGAAGTGCTGTACTGCCGTCCACTAACTAAACGCGGCTAAGTGACAAATGGTCAAATATCCGTTTTAAATAGAAAAAGAAAGAGCACAAAATTCGACTTATCGGAACTTACCCTAACGATGCATAGCTGAAATATCATTAAACAATATCAATGTTCTAAAATTGGGTTATGGTTTTTTATGGTATCTCAAAAAAATGTTTTGTCACCTAGGCGCGCGTACGTTTACTTCAATCTTTATGATTATGACTTACATGTTTAATGATAAGTATCTACTGTAAGTATACGTTGTACAAAGTAAATAAATAAACAAATTGTGACTGCTAACAGAAGTGGCGCGCGCGTGTCACGATAGTGGCGCTAGATATTATACGAAAAGTAGGAGTGGCGTTGCGTCCTGCCGCGCCACTTTTTTATAATATCAACTGACGGGACGAACACGTCATGCGCCTCGTGGTAAGCTTCACGCTTGTCCATAACAGTTTCAGTGCCACTCAGAGATTTAAATCGCAAAGATCTGAAGGGCACTGCCACTGCGCCTGTCACCCTGAGATAAGTTGACAAGCCTCATGTGCCTGTAATTTCGCCAAGTGCAGTAATTTCGCTTCTATAAGCGTTTAATTTAAATGAGCCTATGACTGTTCTAACAAAAATACACTCTGTCTTGTAAAGATAAGAAAGTTGAAAATTCAACTGAAAAAGTTGCTCTTGAAGAATTAATAATTACCGTAGCTGATTATCAGTTACGACGCAATGGCGATTTAGACTGTCTAATAACGTATACATACTATGACTTATGTAAGTAAAAGTAAGAAAATGTTATTGTTGTATACAAATACACCTGTAACAAATTATAAACAAACAGAAATGGGCCTTGATCCCGGCCTGCATAAGTTATGACTCATGCGCACGCGCACGTGGCGTAGCAACCCAGGCACGACTGTTACATAAACAAAACTAACACTTTACAATATCCATATAATATCCCGATGATAAAAATATGTAGTATGTGTTGCAATTTTTGGAGGTCATTTATATTGAGTAGTAGAAAAACAAATATAAGTTGTAGTGTGATGTTTATGTTATTATACCAGTGAATAATGTCTGTTATAAGTGTTATCACGCCTTCATGTACATTAATGGCGAATCTGAATTCTATTTACTAGGCAACAACGTCGAAATTCCTCTGAATAATAGTCGCCGCGTAGACCAAATTCAAGCAAGACTCGAGACATTTAAGTTAAAACCTGAAAGCTAAATAAATAGAGCGTGTTTTGTCATGACAGACGCACGCGGTCGCTGCACGGCCCGGGGTGAACGCGATGCAATTCGTGTCGCATAAATGCGCCCTAACCCTTCAAAACCGGAACACAGTAATATTCACATTGCCGTTTAGCTACAGAAATAAGTAAGGTAACGTGACAGTACTTCCTTAGACGAACTCTTTCACAAGAAGCTCTACTGCTGCTGAAGTAGTAGCAGAAGTATTATATTACCCTAATAATTAAATCACTACGACTGCTTTCAAAGGATTATTGACGATGAGATCAATAACAGCCGTCAGTTGAATCGATATGTTTAAACATTTCAATTGATGACCTATTACTCGTTTGACCCACTTATCCTGAGCGAGTCGTATAAATCATGTAAAATTTACCGACCGACGTGAACTCGTGCCAATTTATCGCGGTTATTAGTTTGCTTCTAAGTATCCTACGAGAGAATTTTGTAATAGCTGCTCTGATGTAAGAAGGTAAGATGTACCAAAAATATAACAGAGCAGCATTTTGTAACGAGTTCTACAGTCCAAATGATGATAACACACAGCTTTGTTTTCAAACCATAAAATTATTTCTTTTTCAAACATACTCGGAAATGTTTGCGTTCTTAAAAATAATAAAAAAAAATCCCACAAAGTTTGTTATTGCAGCATGCAACTCTATAATTGCCCTCAATTTGATCGTTCCTGTCTTATCTAAACCCATGTGCCACTTCCCACATCAATCCATCTTTTGTTATTGTCCAATAATTCTTCTATATACACTTATCTATCTAGATTTATTTTAGGAAATTATGTTAAAAATTTAGCTGTTGTAATAATAATATAATGTTTCTCCTGTATTTATATGCACTAATTGTTTATTTATATCTCATCGCTCCTGGCTTGATCCCTTTTTTCACTCTTTCTCCACCTTAATGCGTGAAGTCACGTTATCAACGACATGCAGTCGGGGTTCGGCTGCATGAAGGTGATGACGACTTCACTCATAAACTGCAAACAGACAGTCAAATCTGTTGACAGCCTTAGATGAGATGTTTTTGAAAGGAGTAAAAATTTCTGTGTTATATTGTTCATTGTGCGTGCCACTACATTAAGAAAGAATTTAGGTACGCATGGGCAGAAGTAGTACGGGTATTTTGATGTTTTGATTGCGTTGTTTAAAATATTTATGTAAAACCACCATCATAAATCACAGCAAAGGCTTGAATAGTCCGTCTGTTATCTGAGAGGATTTTTTTTATAGCCCACTAAAACGGTCAATAGATGCTATCTTATGCGAATTTATAAAGGCCACGCAATACTTGCTAAATTTGGGTGTGCTACGCTTATTTTTATGCTATATGCATAACTTATTAAGATGTACCACACGTAGTTTCCGTTGAAAAATGATTGGATTTTGGGACACAATTTATTGATCGTACGCAACAATGACTTTCGTCCAAGCATTTTGAGTGTTCAAATTAGACGGAAATATTTATGGCTGATTTCCCAAGTTTTACGTCACGTGAATGTAACAAGGAAGGGAAAGGAGTCGCAACCCATACGCAAAATATAGTTGAAGGAGAGAATAGTATATTGTGTCACAAGGGCGGTATGTAGACAATTACGAACATTCAAATTAAAAAAAAGACTTTATTGGCCCAAATGGCCGCGGTGTGGATATATTATTCATCACACTTGTGAGGAAGGAGAAAAAAAAGGAAAATTAAACTTAATAACGTTATAATTTATTATTTATTTAATTCATTTATATCATTTAATATTTATAAACTTTTAAATAGCCTAAAATAAATCTTGTAAGAAGATTAAAAACAGTTTCAGCATTAAATTTTTTTGCTTTGGGTTGGGGTACATATGAATAAAACGTAAAATCTTTTAAATTTGTGTATGTCATGGTATTTATGAGTATGTATTTTTTAAAAATGAATTAAACCGAATGTATTGAGTTTTTAATTAAATCAAAAGTCCACTGCAATTTGGAGTCGTGGCCTGAGTTTACTGCGAGATTCTACTTCGAGGGTCCGCGCTCTGAGCATGCTTCGGGAGAGTATAAATAAAACAAAAATCTATTACTGCTCTAGGGCCTATGCTAAAAGTACTGTCTAATTTAGCTACACGTTATATTACTACTAGCTAAAGCTCATGTCGATCGATTAACATTATTTTTGGCCGAAGGGTGTTGTACCAGACACCATATTTCGCCACACGTCTCTGACAAGTGCATATCGTATAAATTAGCTATTTCGTTTTTACACTATCTTTATATTTTGTGTTATATGCATTGACTTACAATTATATGGACGTCGGGTCCGCGCTAAAAAGTGTCCGCACTTGTAAGGCGCTAAAATCGTATACAGAGCGCCAAACTCCGCTTTAGTCTTCATTTGTTCTACTGACAGCGCGATACTGCGATGACATTACAATTTAAATTTCGAATAGGTTGACTTGGGACATTTTTTTCGTGGTTTTTGTATTAGACCCGTCGTCCATTTATTTGTAAGTCAATGGTTTTATGTGTGTTAATCGTTATATATTATACTATTATGTGTCACAGTTGCCTGACTTAAATAATAAATATTTATTTATTTCATTATAGACGAGCAGCTTTCACTGGTAAGTCTACATAGCACAGTGTTCAAATTTGTATCGTTAGTTTTAGTTCACTTTTTTAGCACTAATTCACTATTTCGTAGCCCGTTGTTGCGCTTGTTTTTGAAGGCGTTAACAGAGACAACAGGTACATAATATAAAATAATAATTATTATTAATGACAAACGTATAAATATATAAAATAATTATATTTGAATGTCACTTACTTGTGCCCGAGTTCGTGAGTGATGGTGTGCGCCAACATAATGCCATTATCTTCATTCACGGAACAACTTCGGTCCGGCTTGCACATACCAGCTACGTGTGCCACTCCTAATGTGCTGTGGGACAATAGTAAGAATTCGTTAAAATACAGGGAGGCTCAGTATATACTCTATTTATATACTTTACAGTACCTACTTACATATACCTCTTGGCACTGTAGAGGTATATATTTCTAGAATCTAAAGTGATTCCTAGAAATAGCACAATAAAAGTAGACTGTAATATGTTTTAGAAGCCTGAAAGCGGTACTTAAGAAATTGTGCATAAGTGTCGTGTTTTTAGATTTTCGCGATTAAATATACATTGGCAATTCGGATCTAAAATCGCGTGTATACTTGTTTTTCAAACAAACCAACGTTTTGGGCTCTTCACATTTAGTCAGCCGTGACGCTCGTGACCATGAGACCTTTAGTATAATTACTTAAACTTCTGGTCAATTTTACATTAATTTTAACGCCGAATCACTGTCATATCACAGCTGGGCGGCCACTGTAGTCAATTCAGTATTTGAGGGAACATTTCGAGTCGTTGTTTAAAAAACCTTTGAACATTCCACTCAGCCGACGAACGATCCAAAATTAGACTGCAAGAAAGTGCTTCAGCGGCACTCTTCTCAGCAAGAAGAAAGACCGAAAACCAGGCTAAGAACAGAGTGATATAAAATTCAATTTTTTAAATTTTTAATTTCATGTTTAAGTACGAGGGAAACTACCAGACGAGTCACTTGATGGCAGGTGGTCAGCGTCGCTCATGGATATCTGCAATATCAGAAGAGCTGCCTATACGTTGCCAGCCTTTAAGAGCCTCGTTGACGCGCTTTTTAAGAATCTCATGTCATAGTGCAAAGGAAATACTTCAGGAGGGAGATCATTTCACATCTTGGAGGTTCGAGGAAGGGACGAAAGTGATGCCCGCGTGGTCTTACAATATTAGGCATCAAGAATATAGAGATGGGTTCTACTCTATTGGCGGGAAATTCAATGATGGAAACGTGATGGCGGAAAGTTCGGAAACTTCCTCTGAGCACTCCCCGCTATAAAGAACGGCAGTCTCTCCATAGACTAAGGGGCTTTATACCGTCTGTGAGTTTGGGATTATCAACAACACGAACAGCCCGATGTTCGATGGAATCATGGGGATTAAGCTGGTAAGGAAGCTCCGTCTTAGAGATGCGAGCAATACCCCATATGTATAATATATATATATATATATTTCTAAATTCGATTTGAGATTTGCCATAATAACAGTCTAGTGTATGGTCATTAAATCAATATTATCGATGAGGCGATAAATTGAGAGCTCAATAAGTATCGATAATAATTTGGTAGCAGGAGATATTTTAATAATAATATCGTAAATATAAACTTAATGTTTGTCCTTCAAACTAATTCTGTAAAGTGTTGTTTATTATGTTTATATATTTAAGATCAGAGGATAATTTACGAAATATATTTAAGAAATTGATTTTATATATTGAATGTCGATGATTAATTTAAAAATACCATGAAAAATAATTTTTAACGAAATAAACGATTGAAAAAAGCATTTTAACTGCCTTTGGCCGAACGGTTACCATGCCGGACTGCCACGCAGAGGTGCCAAGTTCGATTCCCAGGCCGGGAGTAATATTTGTATGACCTACTACTAATTATTTCTCTCGTGAGTTTGGGTGTAATTTGTGGTTGTCTATGTGTGTGTCCATGGCACCCGCGACTCAGGGTTTCCCTATTGCGGGGCTTTGTTGAGTGTGTGCGTTATTATTGTTATTATTATGAATTGGAGCATTATGAAGTTTTGTATAGCGTCCCAAAATTACACAAGAAAGGACTAAAATGTTCCAATGGCAAGTTCATTGTATTGTTTATCACTGAACCGTTAATACAATTTCATAATAACACAAAAATGATTCAACGCCATCTAGCAGCATCTTACCTAAATTAAATAAATATTTATGTTTAATAGAAGTCTTAACAAGTGTTTATTAATAAGGTGTGGACTTGCAGCGCCAGCGACCTCGAGCTTGTTTCAAGTCCCAACTGTTTAACGTAACGTCTCTATTACACTTAAGATTGAAGTATTTATATAGCATTAAATGCAGAAAATTATATAATGCTTAATATTGAAGAAAGAAACAAAATATTATTTTTGACGATCTCTGTGGCTCCACAGTTTGCACTGTGGACGTTGGAGGAGGAGGTCCCGGGTTTGATTAAAAAAAAAAACCAATTTGGGATACGAATTTCTCAAAATTTATTATGGGCTGTTCTGAACAGTATTCAGTTTAATTGATTCCCTGTGAATTTCCTAGTTTGGCACCAAATAATTATTGTGGTTGTTAGGCATATTATTATTATTTTCTTTATTCTGTCAGCCTATTGGCTGATTTTAACCGCGCGGACCGAAATCAAGTAAATGCAGTATGGTGTATATCTATCTGGAGGGTGTGTAATAAGAGCCTACTTCGTCCTCTTCCATCTGCATGAACTTTCTGACTATTCGGCATATATTTAATATTACAGCTTAAAGTAACGTAGAGGCTTTATTTAAACCCTCATAATTGAGGTTTTACAGAAGATAAAAGTCGTGGTAGCCTAATGGTATGACCTACTGCTTCTCAAGCAGAGAGTCGTGGGTTCGAATCCGGGCTCGCACCTCTGAGTTTCTCGGAATTCATGTGCGAAATTTAATTTGAAATTTAAACGTGTGAAGTCCTCAACCCGCATTTAACCCTCGCAACCCTCGTCTGAAAGGAGACCCGTGACCAGCAGTGGGGCATATAAATGGGTTGATGATGATACAGAAGATGATTGGAAATAACGCATGGTGTGAAAGAACAATTGGAAGAAAATATATACATATTTTCATTGACTTACAATTATATGGACGTCGGGTCCGCGCTAAAAAGTGTCCGCGCTTGTAAGGCGCTAAAATCGTATACAGAGCGCCAAACTCCGCTTTAGTCTACATTTGTTCGACTGACAGCGCGATACTGCGATGACATTACAATTTAAATTTCGAATAGGTTGACTTGGGACATTTTTTTCGTGGTTTTTGTATTAGACCCGTCGTCCATTTATTTGTAAGTCAATGCATATTTTACTAGAAGCTGAGTTCCTTGAGAAAAAATTCGTCCAAGGAAGTACTGCCACCTTATCTATTTCTGCCGCCAAGCACTAATGTGAGCATTACTGTTTTCCAGTTTTTAAGGGTAAGGGTGCTCGCGAAATTACAGGCACATGGGATATATCAACTTATGTCTCAGGGTGACGGGCTGTGCCCCTAAGATTTTTGCGACTTGAAGCTCTGAGTAGCACTGCATCTGTTATGGACATACGTGTCGCTTTCCACCAGGTGCACGACTTGTTCGTCCCGTCACTTAGTATTATAAAAAATAAAATAAAATTTCATGTTTTCATATTCACTTCAACCTTGGTCTCTGCGTATTTATTCGTATTGTTATTATATTTATACTAATTCATGTCAGGAAAATGTCAAAATTAGACGCGTCCAGAGTTGCGTGGAGTTTGCAACCTATACTAAAAATAGTCAAGATTTGAATTCAACTTTATGCCACAAAAGATAGGACGGTAGTCCAATGTGCAAAGTCCAGCACGTCGTTGACTGTACACTTATTATATTCGATGTAGGACACTCATATATAGCAAATATGTGAATTGAGTACTGCATTATCAATTGTTTTAATTTTTTTCTATCCTTTTATTATTATTAATATATTATTACTTATTTTAGACTCTCGCTGCTCCGAGGGCCTAAAAGATTAATTTTAAATTGATGTTATTATTATGTTGTTTCGTTTATATGAGTGTCTGTGCTTGTGTAATAAAAAGTTTTCTTTCTTTAAATGAGAAGTAGTGCATTTTAAAGCACAGTATAGTAAGTGTGGATTTATAAAAGCGAATTTATGTGAGTGCGTGCTTCCGCGTGCGTGACTCACTTGGGTGCCTATTATTAGTCGCCTATTCCTGCATCGTCTGTTACACTCCATCAATGTGTTAAAAGCAACTACAATATTACATAATTAGTTGAACTATGTTAGAACTAGGGTTTACAGTCGCGCTGCATTTCCACGTCCCGGAAATAGTCGAAGGGGTCTCGAAAATCCCCGGAGTAACGAGTCTTTGGTGACCATTTGTAAAGAACGTTTCCGTACTTATAGGTTAAGTAAGCATTTAGGCAACCAAAACATGAGGTGTTTTTTATTAAAAATTAAGTGCGCATTTGATCTCCATCTTTTTTTTATGGGACCAAGTGATTGGACGAACAATTCGTGTACTACTGTACTAACACTTTTATGGATCTTAATTGTCTGTTAATAAAAGACTTCAATTATTTTTTAATACTTCTTGTTGCCTCTGACTGAAAACCAGCGCCTTACGGAACTTAACGCATATGTTGAGTCAGCGCTTTATCAGTGCTATAACAAAAATGTTTTATTTTTCCTTTTGTATTTAATCTATATTTGTGTCTAGTATGCCAGCCGAGTATTTTTTATTTGACTATTCCAATCTAACCGGTTACTAGTTATGTGAGCGGCGGGGGAGGAGAGGTATCCCTATGTAACATTTGTATCTATGGTGATCTCCCCCACACATTGTTCAAATAACTAGTGGGTTTGGACTGTAGTCTGTTATATATACACTATAACTTCAATCATCGATTGATTAACAAAAATAAACTTTCTTGTTTTAGAAATTTAATGTATTTGTGAGTCAGCCCATTATTTTTGGGCTTGTCTTACTACGTCAATATTTCTTCTTAAATATTGAATCGTACGCATTGAGATGTTTGAAATGTGACACTACAATTTGCTAAACTTTAATTTTGGCGAGCTACCATGATATTCAATTATTATAGTGGCTTAGTATGCTAGAAGACGTCGGTTCGAATCCGGCTGGATCGAAGGTTTTTTTTTGTGCTCGTTCTTTGTTATTTAATCATCAACAGCCTCTCCCAATGCGCGCCATTTCGCCTTGTCTTCAGCTCGCCGCATCCGTCTGCCGTCGGCCAGCAGCCTTTCGCAAATCGTGATTCCATC